CTTTTGTGCTCTACAATATTGCGATTGACATTTCTAAACTATTTTTTGACATTTTAATCAGTTTATCATGAAAATAGTCAACATATGTTTCCAGAATGAATATAATTGTTGCAACTCTAATGATATGATCATAATATTTGATAAATGAAATAGTACAAGTATCAATTTAAGCAGTTTCAAAGTGTTATGTTTAGGGCTGCAATGATATTTAATTACTTGATAGTCATTTACTTTGATGTCTGTTGCCTTAGAGACTCCCTTACTGTGCTGATGGCGTATTGGCATTTGCCTTGTTTACCAAAACTCAGTTAAGCTGGCTGTAAACACTGAATACTGCAGATATTCCTAATCTGTGTGCATGCTGGTGTTCAGTGATATGTTCAAGTACTGGAATACATTATTCTGTGGTTGTCTAACGACAGCCTGGAGATACTGCTCCTGCAGGGTTTGACAAGGCAGGCTTTGCTGTTAATGAGTTTTCTCGTGTCGTGTATTGGTGGAAATACCAGTTTAATAATCTCCATTCATTTTTCATGTCTGCTCCTCCCATGATGCAAATAACAAAAGTCTAACTAAAATAAATGAGACAAATTGACTTAATTCTTTACACCTATACTATAGATTTTAGAGGAGGGTAATTGCCTTACAGTCTCTCAAACCCTACACAAGCTATGAGCATTTACAGAAGGGGTATGACCCTTATTATTAGGGACAAGAAAAGCCCAATATATATACAAGTTTGAATAATTTAGAGGCATCCTTTGGTACATATAGTACCGACCTGACTTGTTTGAATAAGGCCGTGGATGGCCAGTTGACAACAGACAGTGTCCTGCTCCACTCCAGCAACTTTCCAAACCCCTTTTCTGGATATCGTCAAGTAGGGAAGGTGAGTAGGTGGAGCACTTATACATCACAGTGAAGCACACTCCACTGCAGATGGGTGCTTTATAGATTGTGGCTCAGCTCTTGATGTTCAATTCACATTTTCACGTATCATGCACTTTCATTTTAAAGATTTAAAGGCCGGTTCACCATCCGTCTCTCCAGATGTGCTTTGTCACGAGCGAGCGTTTTTCTATCTTGGCAGACATTTTACTGCTGTTTAGCATGCATGCATGTCGCGAAAGGATGTAAATGGTAGTAAATCGTGCCCCCACATTTGATGACAAGCCACTGTCTGCAGCTTTACAGCCAATCAAGCTGCTTTCTCACAGGAGGTGGAAAGAGCTCTCCTGGTAATGGAGGCTCTCACTCCAAGGCACCTGCAGTTCGTGTTTTCTAGATGGATCAATACATCTGTCAAACTTTCCCCGAATGGAGGCTATTTCATGTAAGTCCTGTCGTTGCTGCAGGGTGCAACATGAAAAAGTGCAAGTTCCGTGAAGGTCTCTTTGGAACTTTATATTCGAGATGCCGGGTTCATGCTGAAGGGTGAGATTTTTGGGAAATAACACCTGTATCTATTCCCTTCATCTGTACCAAGCTTCAAAGGGGTTGTAAGGCCAAATCGACATTGTTAATATTATATGGTGCACTACTTAGATTTTAGATCCCTCTTTGCCGGAACAGCGGTGAAATCAGTCCACACTTCATCAAGTAAACTCTTCTGGTGGGCTCAAGGGTACTTAAGAACAGTGTCAGGCTAAATCATTCTGCGTCAAGGCTACAGTTACTTTGATGCTTAGTAGCTATATCTGTCTGTGCTGTAGGAATTAACATGATTATTTTCAGTTGAAGAAGATGGTGTTTGAACAGGACCCTGGAGGCTGCAGATACAGTAGTATAACTTCAGCTACTTTTACTTGAGACGTTTCCTCTGTTTTGTTTAAATGTCAAGAGGTTCTGGTTTACTTGAAAATCTTACATAAATTAATATTCATTGCATGTTCTGAAAGTATAAACCCTCGTTTTTTTTTTTCCAGATATCACTTGCGCACTTTTTTTTGTCTTTAAACATTACCCACACATCCTTCAAGATTTCAACATTTGTGTTTGCATTGACCCCGGCTTCCATATCACTTTTTGCCTTGACCATACTCATTAAGCTAAACATGACTCATGTTGAGAGATTTTCCTGACTGTATATGGACTTGGAATGTGGCGATTTGTTCCACACATCACACTTCAGCACTCAACAGGGGGGTGGGGGAGGCCTTGAGAGTGATCTGTGAGTTACTTGTAGGCTTGTAGGACAGAAATATGACTTTTAGTGAAAGCAACGCATCTGAATGATGATGTTTTTGTCAGTGTTTGTTTGTCGATGTACATGGACACTTACATGTGCATTGTGTGACCTGAAAATACTCCAGTGTAGCTGCTCCCAGGCGACTTCAGGGGCGTGTTTGTTTATCGGAAACAAGGATAGAAATGGAAACCAGCGGCTGGATGACAGTTGATGGAGTTGCACACGTGTTGTAATCGAGTGTTCTCTGGGGGTCAGTGGGTGGGTGGGGCTTTCAAAATGTGGTCCAAATGCACATGCAAGCCAGACTTGGGGATTGCATGTGTATTGGTCTCTAAAGCTTTCTGTAGCAACAATTGTAGAAGCCATATCTGTATGGGAAGGAGTTTAACATTTATGGCTTAGGAACCTTCTTGTAAGATGCCATGTCCTTTTTTAAAGGCTTGCCAAAACCAGAAATATGAAGCGATGGTGTCAAGAATTAAATCAGTGTTAATCTGCTCTATGATAAGATGCAATTGTTAGCTTGTCCGGCTAACTATCTTAGCGTAGCTTAGCATTACTAAACAAAAACAAGCAGCATATAATTAAGTACTATTTTTTGGGGGGTTACAGGTTATGTTAACATGTGAAAACATGCCGGAAGACTGTGTCTCTGTACAGGTGTTTTACTTATTTTGTGCTTATGCGCACAGTGCAGCCATCGTCAACTCTCTCCGCTGTCTGTTTTCACTCTGCTGTGTGTGTTGGTGTCAGCCCCACCCACAGTGAAGCACCACCGCGGGCGGGCCTGAGCTGCTGCTCAGAGGCGAGACAGACAGTGGTGGAGAGTTGCACACTCACCACGCCACTAAAAGTGCATCAACAGCCCCACGACCAAAAAGCCATTAAGAGTATTTTATCAATGTAATCTACACAAAAAATTTACTGACGAGGAAAAAAGAACACTCTGTAACACTGGGAAAGGAAGAGATATTTATTCCAGACAGGGACAAAACTTAAAAAGATTACAGAGAGAGAAAAAGCCATTTTATAGCCTACTTTGTTATTTAGTAATGTATAAAAAACAGTAAGCAACAGTTTTTTTGTTAATACTACGCAGAATTTTGGGTTTTGCAGGTTTTTGGTGCAGGGCTCTCGGTATCAGCAGATGCTCAATATTAAATAGGTATTGGGGGCAAAAAGACTTAAGTAGATGCAGTATCAAACCATTATCAGACTAGTAAATTTCTGGTATTGTGACATCCCTACATCATAAATTTCCTGTCAAAGTGTGTTTTTGTCCAGGCAAAGTATCCGAACAGGGCTCTGCATGGAACTTTTCGCTTTTAAATGTTCTCTTATTACACTGTACTTTAGGATAATATCATTGTTTCAGGATTGTTTCAAAACGAGTCAGTCTGAGTTTTCAACTAGCTCTTGCAGCTAAAGATAATTAGTAAACTACCGTATCTAGTTATGATAAAACTATTGTCATTTCAGCCAGAAAAGTAAACAGCCGCCAGCTTGAATTGGGAAACCTACTTCTGAAATAATTTTCTTCATAAATTGATAAGCTGTTCAATGCTAAATCAGCTACTCTTACCATTATAAACAGCCTATGTGCTTACTGGCATAGCATTAGTAACTAAAAGGGCGGGGCTTAGCGAACGGTCAATTAAAAAAGCAACTCTTCTTTAGGGACTACAAAACAATTTTAAAATTAATTTTCTGTTTAAATTAGTCTGTCACGTCCCCTGCCAAAGCCTATGAAAGCAAGTCATGTCACAAAGGCACTGCTACGCCCCACAGGTACCTTGTAAATTATTCACCTAATTGAGACACTGTACTAGTTCTCTGTGCTGCTCTGACCCAGTAAGAAGTTTCACACGATACTTCAAGTCCTTGAATCTTTATTTTTCTGCAAGCCCACTTTTTATGCCGGCCTGTGGAACAATCCCCTCACTGCTCATTCCTGTCCAGAACGTGCGTGCGTGCGTGCGTGTGTGTGTGCTGCCATAACACACCGACAAGAACTCCAAGGTCAGAGTCTGCAAAGACTCTACATGGAGTAGGATTCACCAAAATAGACCTGTCTTTCTGTCAAGTGACCTGTGGAATATCAACCCCCGTTTTCAGTGCAGATTTCAGCACAATCTTATTTCACACCTGTGCCTGTCAGACTGATGGACGCGTAATAATGAGAAACTGCACGTCAGTGTTTTCTTAAGCAAATTCACTATAGTAATACAACTGTTAACAGTTGAAGATTTGAGTTAATGACCGGCTTTTCAGATGGGAGAGCTTGGCATTGATAGATGAGTGCAATTGAGGTACAGTATGGGCTAATTAGTGGATAAAATGATGCACTTGGCTAGTCTTAATGTCATCACAGACGCTGTCAGTCATTATTAATACTGACCTTGACATTTTGTTCTCACCAATCTCACCAACCTGTGCTCCGCAGTCTTCTATCTCTAGACTTTTTAATATTTGCAGTGTATTTGTTACTTCGTCAACCACTTCCCTTATCTGTGTCTTAAGAGCCCATGGTGTACCATTAACGTCGTCCATTACTGTCACTCATTTTTTTAATGTTCAATTACACATGATGTGCCAGGCCCATAATGTACTGTCATTGCTGATTCATTGGTGGACACTTTCCCCTTAATTCTCTTTTATTCCCCTCCTCCTCCTTCTCCTCCTCCTCCTTGTGTGCTTTCTATCTCTCTTCTTCTTCTCCTCCTCCTCCTCCTCTTGGGCCAATCAGGCCACACCTCCATGGCAACCGTCAGTGAGTGTAAAACATCCACAGATGGTGCTGAGTAGAGCAGAGCAGCAGGCGCACTACGAGATCAAGTGTGGGAGTGTATGTTTGTTTGTGTGTCTGAGAGATAGAGGGAGAGACTCATTGGATAACCACTGTATTTTGAAGCCAACAGAGTAGTCTGTAGTACACAGAAGAAGAGTAGGACTTTGTTTGCTCAGAGGAGTTGCAGAAAAAGTCAGGAGGAGTGAATGTTGGAGGAAGACAAAAAGAGAGAAGCGAGACAAAAAGAGAGACAAGCCCCCCCACCTTCCCCAGAGAGCAGGAGGTAAACCGCCGGTAAGCAAATATTAATGACCTGACATAAAAGCACACAACCATCCCTGTGTTTATCAAGACAGCCTTACCTTGGAGCCGTGCACCAGAGGAGCCTGGACATATATACACACACCCGCGCAAGACGAGCCCCCCTCACTGCTCCCCACTTGCTCATGATCATCACTCCCGCCACACGCAGACACAAGGGCCACGCTGACACAGCCAGAGGAGTGTAGGAGAGAAGAGGACACTCGCCCTGTCGTGGGACTTTGTCAAAGTACTAGTCTTCCTTGGATTTTTTTTTGTTTTTGTTTTTACCCTGAAAGACAGAGTCGTCCTTTTGTGCTGACCTTTCCAAGGCCCCCCCCCCACCCCCCTACCCCACTCCAACCCCAGGAGCAAAGATGAGCTGCAGGAAAAGGTGCAAACGGGAGATCTTCAAGTTTGCACAGTACCTGTTCAGACTCGTCACGGGCACGCTCAACACCGGTAAGGCTCCTGGTGGACTGAGAGGATTTTTCCTGATCTGCGTTTCCATTTGCTGCAGTTCTCTTAAATCTGCAGTGATTTTGTGTTCTCCTCTTGGCATTTTGGTCAAACTCCTGCAGTTGATTCATGTTTTGACAAAAGTAGCTCATTACAAAGTTAACATTTGACACACGGCACTCTGTTAGGACACTTGCATACCATCAGCGCCTCGCAGTATTTAGGTTGTATATACATTTATGCTTGCAAACTCTGCTAGAGCATTGTGAGGATTTTGAGAGTGGGCTTGAATTTATTACCTACTCTGCACCATAATTTGTGTGTGAGTGTGTGTGCAAATGTAAGTGTAAAAGGACAGAAGGTCAGACTATGACTAGAGGCAAAGGTGAAGTCATTAAAAAAATTATAATAATAATGATCAAACAGCCTCTGATGCAGTCTTTGGCTGTCAAAAGCACAATGTCATGTATTAAAAAATTTCACAAACGCATTGGTTCTGTCAGCTCAACCTTGTAGTCACCTTAATAATTTTTACCACTGTAACTTGCAGATTTTGTCAAAAGTTGTCAGAAGTCCAATCTTCATGTCTACGTCACTTGTTATGGGTCTTATCAGCAAAAATATTATCTGGAGCAGTATGCTGATGCCGAATCCTTTTGAAATCCTCCCCAGAAGCAGAAGTTGTTTCACACTGTGTACGTACACAGTAATATTCCTTACTACTTCTGTATGTACCTGTATCATGGTGCAAAGTGTAATAGATTTTGGTTACTCCTTTTGTTCTGGGCGCACACGCACCAAGAGCTTTTGTAATAAGACTGAATCAATGGTATTAACAAGATTAAATCTGGGATTATAGTGGATTACTAGCAGATTATTCCATGAAGAGTCCAATACAGGATACAGGTTATCCGCAGTATCATGCACTGATCATTGGCACATATTGCTGGTATGCATCAAAGTGGTGCTAAGGATTATTTACATATATCATCAAGACAGTAGCACGTTGCGGTTGCTTATCCTTAGACCTTACAGTTATTTTTTTTATACAGATGCTGGGAATACACTAGTAGCATAATTAACACCTTTTGCGGTGCATGGTTCCTGTCTCGTTCTTGCATTAAGTGAGTTCTCGGGTAAGTTGTTGATTATCACGCTGCACGAGTGAGATGGTGCTAAACCACAGAAAGGTGCTAGATGAACATGCTTATGAATTCCAGCGTGATTGCAAAAATTTTTTCTAGTAGGGGCTTCCAATTTGTTTCATGTTTTGCCAGAAAAGGGTGGACTTTCTGTTCTGATACATTAGGGAATATTTCCATACAGCCATGACCTACTTTGCACTGTGTCCTTGACCTTAGAGACAGAGAGAACCAGTAGGGAGGTAGCTATAGAAGAGTCTCTCCATCACTGGGATGCCCTATAAAAGGTGTAGATGGCTTCAGCTTTCTAATCATAAAGATAAATATAGACTTGTGGGAGATACCAAGCTTGGAGAAATTCATCTACTGTATCTGCCCAAAGGAGTATGGTTTTGGTTTCCATAGCTACCAGCAGGTCGTTTTGGTCACATTGCAATTCCCACTTGGTCATAACATGATTAGTGTATATTTGGTAGTAATTTCTTTCAGTGTCCTCAAAGCTTTGGTTGATAAAATGTGGCATTACTTTATACTGCGCCACAGGCTACAGTGTTTGTTTGGTAAAAGATTGTGGTCTTTTAATGTCAGTGTCAGTACTTATTAATTATTGATCACATTAAATACAAGCCTTGACATATTTCCCTTTGGACAAAGCCCAATAACTGTAGGCTTGCTGAGTTAGAGAAACATTCTTTTTTTATTGACCACATTGCATGAAGAATATTAGTTCGGTTGCTATTCAATGAACCTCATAGACTTAAAATATACTTAACCCTCCATAATGATGAAATATGGGTATGCGTATACTCATGTGTTGAATATATACAGATGGGTGTTACAGATATTTAAACAAACACAAACCTCCTAGTCTCTGGAACCCTCTCCATTCTCCCATAGGTGTTCAATTGATTCACATCATTTTCATGCTCATCAAACCATTCAATGATCCCATGTGTTCTGTATGAATGCGATCACGTCATGTTTCTCACTTTCCTCTAATTTGTCACCCATCTGTACGTACAGAATTTTATTTAATTGGACGTGTATTGATTTGAAACCAGCATTACTATAGCCTATTTTTCAGATTTGAACATCATAAGATGACGAAGACCATGTCAGCATATGAAGCAGAGTATGATGTTGGGTTATGTTTGGGTCTTATTGTCCTATTACAAGCTCTGTGTCCAAAAAAATGGAGAAAGACATTACACCTCTAAAATTCCGAAACCTATTATTAGTCATTCATTAGGCAATTTCCACTTGAGTGGATCCATTTCTCTATAAACACACTATATTAACTCATCTTACACAGGCTGTGCTGCAGATTAATATAAATGGAGTTTGACCATACCGAAGCTGGCTCGGGCATATTCGAGTGACCAGGGGACGAGAATGATAGATGGAGTCGGTTAGCAGACCATGGGATTTTAATTGAGATGTTCATTGTCCCAGAACAGCTTCACAATCATTGCTTCATTGATCATGGGGTTGCTAAGGCCAGCACAAACTCATAGTGTAAGGTTGAGGGTAATGTACATGATGTAACAGAACGAGCCTGGGCAGATTGTGCTGTACATTACATCTATAATGTCATGACTGTTTTTTTTTTTGTCCTCAAAGAACTTTTTCTCTATATAGATCTATGACCAAGACATATGTTAAGGTCCAATTTTGACATTGTTATCCTACACAGCAATATTTCTAGTACTGATATGTATTCACATTCCGATTTGATGTCTTGAGCACAGGAAATCGTTTATTGATCAAAACTGATTTAGAGGTACAATGGGGACAGTAGGCTACCATTCATATTCATGCCACAACCACTGCCCAGTAGGCCTTAATTTTTCAGGTGTAGGAGGGAAAAAATAAGGGGGAAACAAATCACAGATGCACATTATTCCAGGTTATAAATCCAAACAGCAGTGTCAGCACATATTCAATATATTGCATGTGTAACGTATTTGTTGCTCACACCAGGGGAAATCTTTGTCTATTCCAACATTTCCAACAGATCCTCCTTGAAAGATGGACAGGGAGAGCTACCGGTCCAGCAGAGTATCCATCAGGATCATTTAGATGTCCTAAAGCTGGGTGATTTATGCTGCTTTCTTTTAAGTGACATATTCTCAATGTCGATTTGGTCTATAGTCAATACCCTTAGTGTCCAGTGAATAGGCTTTAAACATGTCTTTTCCACCTCCATTCCACTAGATTGCATTGTAGTACTCACTAAATCTGCCACTTGCTCTGAATCACAGCAATACTTTTTGCAATCTTCCACGACATCTCGACAGTTTGCTTGTTCCCTGAGTGTTTGCCTGTCAGGCGTCTCCGCTTCTGTAATGCATCATCCCTTTTTTTCTCATCAGGAGTCCAAGCGTTTTGTTAGACATCACAGGTACATGCCCTCTCAAACCCCTGCACTTACTTTTTGGAACGAGACTGGTGAAAGTTTTGTTGGTCGGACTTTGCTTTGTGCGATCAAAGCTTTGATGAGCCTCTGAGCTTTTTAACCTGCTTGTATCGATTTTAAGTAGTTTGATTCAGCTTGTAAATGCAGTTGTTTTTTCTTCGCTGGAAATGAATATTTTCTTGGCTGTGTTCTTTATAATGGAACAATGCTGATTGTAATGTCTCTGAGCTTTCAAATGATTATATATTGGGTGTGCAGAGCTGCAGTAAATGCCAAACAAGCATTTATTTCTTCCCTCCCTTCCTTTTCTATTGCTAAATCAACTAAATGGGATTTTTTTGTTTGTTTCTCAACAATGCAAATTATGCTTGCTTGCCACCAGTGTTGGTTCCTGGGATTTCGTATATTCCACTTCAGTTACATTGTTGACCGGACTGCAGTGGCAACTGGGCGAGCAGAGAGACGCCTACACCCTTTCACCCAGGAATATTACCAGCTTTTCTTACCCCCTATGAGGTCATCTTAAAGATGTTGTTGTCCTAGCTTGTGCTGTGTCACCCCCAATGATATGGTCCCCACCAGGTGCCTCAAACAGTCCGTCTCTGTCTGTCAGAGCGATGGCTTGAAGTCAAGGTCCTTTTGAGGCAATGTAGTCTGAAAAGTAGGAATAATGTCTGTCAGAGAAATTACCTCTTAATAAACCTTTTTCATCTACTGCTTAGAATAATTTTTAAAGTATTTATGTTGAATTATTGAAAAAGTTTTTAGGCTTCTGTACTTCTACAGTAATTATAAGTTGAAAGACGGTCTTATCTGGTGCCAAAGAAACTAAAATCAAAGAACAAAATAAATCTCCTGCAAGAAAGAAGTCTGTTAAGTTAAGACGTGGAGACACAAGACAATGCTATAAAAAATGCACTCGCTGACTTTTCAGCATGTACTTGGGAGCATGTGTGGGGGCCTGCCCAATGACGCTAGGGCCCGTCTTTGTTTCCCTCTCTTTGGTTTCCTGATGGCTATTAGCAGGTCATGTTCCACCTGTCCCATGAGGACAGCACGTTCAAAGCCCATAATCCCTGACCAAACACTGAATATTTGATACCCACAGGCAGGTTGGCATCATGTCTGAATGGCAAGAGAAGAGTCGCTATTTAACACTGCTTGTTTTTACTCTGTTGGCTGTGGTTTCGAGTAGACAGTGTAGTCGTAATGTATAGTGTAGACTGTCCTCTGTAGAGTGATAAAACATGGCCCATGTGGACATTTATTGTTAGCTAATGTTAGAAGTTCATTGCATCTTTACTAATAGAGAGACCTAATAACTTTGGTTTATGGATTAACTACCAGCCTTTGTGCCACTTCTGTAATAAATTGCTAAAGTTTATATACTTTGCCTTCTCTGCAGAGCTCATAGAAATATATGGTTGAACAAAATGACCGAGGGA